AGTACTGTTTATTATTATATTGAACTGATGTTTTCTTTGCTTGAATCATGGAGTTACAAAACACTCTGCCTTCGTAAGACTCGTTCCCATCAAAAATGCAAAACCCTTCTTCATCCAGATTTGATTGATTTATAATATTTGTGAACAGAAACATTACCTGCATTGCTTTCAATTTGATAAAATATCTGTCCACTTTATTTTTACCAAGCTTTCCGAAGCAATAAAGATCTTCTGATCCCATCAAGCAAGTAAATAACACAATTTTTTAATGTATCGCACTCATCAGCTAGTCTTAAAATGGGGTAAGGTTTGGACAATCAAAGACTCAAAACAAAAAAGTGACTTTAGTCTTTATATGTAGCGAGTATAGTATCTATTTTTGCAACTTTTAAAATGATAGTAATGAATCAAAACAATTAAACAGATATTTAAGATGAATTTTTCCCAGGCAAAGAAATCAAAAAATTCTGCATAGGTTAGGAATCCAATGTTAATCAGAATCGACGTTCAAAGTTATCATCAAAATTAGCTAAAATCGATAGCTAAATGGGCGCTTCATGGATAAAACTAATAAAACTGATCATTTGAACTTGTAAGTGATTAGTGCAATTTAAAAATAGCAAGAAAACTTCAAAAACCGCGGTTTGAGTATTATTTATTAAACTTTAACATTCTATTGATTCAAAAATTAAATAATAGATTGATGATAGATTTATCTATGATGCAGTCATTTTATCCAGTGCATTGCAATGGTTTACCCTGCTGGCAATGAGTTTGAGGACCGTAATTTTTTTGGATAATTTTTCGTGAAATGCCTGATTGTTTTTTAGTTAGTAACAATTGAAAGTCAAGCAAAATCACGTATTTTAAGTTAAAAAAATTCGGGTAAAAAATGTATTAGATAAGAAAATTTGTGAAAATTAGTTTTGCTAAGTATAGTTATGAATGGGTGAATAACATCACCCGGTTTGAAAAATTATCTTATCTTTTTTCTTTTAACAGTATTTTGAGCCTTACAATAGACGATCACATGCTCCTTCGTCACTTTCAAAAACGTATTACGTTCGAAACTTTACTAAAATACAATTTTTTCGCATATTTTTCATTATTTTTTATTTTTGCTGACATATTTCTGATTTGCTTAGGTATATCAGTAATCATATCATTCGAATTAGATTGGAAAACTCGAAAACGTGGTAAAAACCTTCAAATGATAAATGTAAGAGAAAGTCAAATGTTGTATTACTACAAAATGACATCCGGTGGCTGTGTATTTTCAGCAAATCTAAGCACACATTCAATAGTCTATATAGGGTCTATCTAAAGTTCGACAAGGAGGGATGCAAATGGACTAAACACCGACACAATGATTTTTTTTGCGCTGATTGTTTTTCAGGAGAATTCGGCATTCACTGTAGTTCAAGTTAATGTTTAATTGAAACGTACTTGTATTGTCTAGTTTATTTTGCAATAAGAGATCAAGCCTATTGCATATCATATGAAAATAAGTTATCATAAGTTCGAATTCAAACGCTGTTATGAATTATATAACAATACATGGAGATTATGGTTCCAATGTACTTTAATTTAGCCTTATACAGTTTACTGTCCGTATCCAGGCACGTTTCAGACATATCCAGAACCATAGCAGCATTTCGCCTAAAACATTCCGAGCCCCGCCTGATGGTATAGCTTTAGAGCCGGGTCCAACTGCTGGCATGACTTCAGGCTCTGATCCAACGCCAGGTAAAGCTCTAGCCCTTGTTTCTTTTAAAAGTATAGCTCCAGCCGTAGAGGTAGAAGTAGCTCCAGCAGCACCTGGTATATTATCAGCTTGCATTCTAACTACAGGCAAAAGCCTGGCTACACCTGCAGGTAAAACTCCAGTTCCAGCTACAGCTCCAACATCGAAAGAAGCTCCAGCGGGAACTCCAGTACCGGCTCTACCGGATGGCGAAACTCCAGCGCCTGTTGTGACTATTGGTATAGTTCTAACAGCAGACCCAACGCCAGGTAAAGTTCCAGCTCTTGTTGCTTCTAAAAGTATAGCTCCAGCTGTAGAGCTAGAAGTAGCTCCAGCAGCACCTGGCACTGCATCAGCTTGCACCTTAACTGCAGGCAAAAGCTCGGCTACGCCTGCTGGTAAAACGCCAGTTCCAACTACAACTCCAACATCAGCAGAAGCTCCAGTGGGAGCTCCAGTTCCATATCCCTGTCCAGTACCATATCCCTGCCCAGTTCCATATATCTGACCAGTTCCGTATATAGGTATATTCGTTGGCACTCCAGCTCCTACACCAGGTCTGTATTGGCTAACAGTCTCACCGCCATCTTGTCCGATTGTGGATTTAAATATGACAATTAACGTGGAAAAGAACATTATGGTTGTTTCATTGAAAATCATTTTGTATTTATTACTAAACTTCTAAGAGAGAATCACTAAAATTTGTAGATAGACTGAAATTGATTTAATGATAGCTTTGAATTGGAGAATTTCTTTATATACTCGTTTTGGTTAGTGTTTTATTTGATCAGCGTATTTCTTTGATTCTGTTTGATCAATTATTATTTAAATAACTTTTTTAACGTTGTAATCAACGTGTATAAATTTTTTGGCAACAGCAGTTTAGCTGCATAAAAATAAATTTTGGTTTTATAATTGATGAGTTGATTAATCGGGTCATGTAACTTTATCTCTATTATCATATTTGTGAATGATAAAAATCAGGCATTATACCACTTTTTTATAGGAAAGCCATTGTTTTTTGAAAAGTATATTGCACTAATACCAGTGCAGCACATTAATACAACAAAACTGGTACAAGTTTGTTAGAAAACTACATTGGAGACATTCATTGATAAGATTCTCGACCCCAAGGGGCCTCGTTTCTTATCCATGAATATCTCCAATGTAGTGATCTAACATACACTAATACCACTATCTATTAATAAAATCATTGCATTTAAGCTGGTTTTTGAGTACCTGAGTACGTCAAAAATATGAAAAAGTGTATTTATATCGCTTAACTCGGCGCTGCCATAAATTTGCTTTTAATAATTATCAATAGTTATGATATGTTATAATGTAGTACAGGTGAGTCAGGCGAAAGTCTAGTCCGTAAAGTCTATTTTCCGAGAAAAGCCACTTACTCTGGTTCAGCTTAGGACTGGTGGCAGCTGCTTTGACTTAACTTATAATTTTAATTTTTAACAATTAACTTGATTCAAAGTCAAATATCATTCAATTTACTTTAAAACAGCAGCCTTCAAGTACCATGGTCAGCAAAATCAAATCAAGCAATTCTGGATATTATGTAAAGCTGAATAAGCCAAAGAGAAGAATTCGTGAATTTTTGATGAAAAATTATCGAAAGAATATCAAGTTGTTCTAGACTCAATCTGATGAAAGGCGCAGACTTAAATCTGTTGTTAGATGGGTGAAAGTAGAGACTTTGTGTTCGAGATGGGTTGAATGTTCTATGTAATGAATAGTATTTACCGATCATGCCTTAATTAATTCATTACGTTCATTAAATTTAATACAGAACAAACCAATTTTTCTGGATTGACTTGATTTTGCTGATTATGGTGCTTGAATGCTATTGTTTTATTGTAAATTGAATGCAATTTGACTTTAAATAAAGTTAATTGTTAAAAATTAAAATAGAAAGTTAAGTTATAGCAGCTGCCACCAGTCCCGAGCTAAACCATGGCCATTTAACATTTCCAGAAAGAATATGCATCAATTGCCAACCCCGTTCCTATGCAAATTAAACAATGAATTATTGGATTGCATCATACTGCAATCAAATGTTTGTTAGCGCAAAAGTCAATCGATAATTCAACGAAAAGAATTTCAGCTATGGTAGTAAGTAAAGTGTTTTTTCACGGTCAAACTTGTTGTATTCTCGGTATTGGCAGGTAATTTTGCTGCTTGTTTTTTTACAACGGTTGCAGTAGTCTGGATTCAGCATGATATTGTTGAAGGATATACAAGTTTTCTACATTGTGTAGTAAAATCAAATATTGTAGAAACACTACCAACCTATAGAACCACGTTAAAGTTGAGCATTTTACACAAACCAGTGACGCATAACAAGCGAAAATTAATCAATCCATAAAAGAAATTCAGGATGTCAAATGTAAGTCAACGATTGTTAATGATTTAAATTACTTTCTTTTTATGCTTTCTATTGACATTTTCAGGTGGTGAAAACAAAGAAACTTATTAAAACCAAAATGGTAAAGTTCATTATCTCGGATTTTAACCATTTTCAGTAGTTAAATCTACTATTTTTAAAGAACTCATACACGCTTGCTCACCGCAATTCACTGTTTATTCAAGGAAGACTAATACTAAACTTATCCACTTGTTTTTCTGGGAAAATCGAGTTAAAGTACATTTGAAAGCTTTACCTTAAGTATCCATATCGTGTGACCTATGGCGGGGTTCACTCAACTCGTATTCTTACTCGGAACTGACTTTTAATTATTTTGTTCATTTAAAGTCAACTTCACAGATGAAACAGACATTGAATCTCATACAACGGATAGAATTGCCTATGAGATTTAGGTAGTTGTAGCAGATTATGAAGTTGGACCTAACAAGTTGGTATCTATGGTTTGTGATGGAGGTGCCATATGATGCATGTTTCTAAAAATCAGTGAAAAGGCCAATATGATGACCGGTCGAATGCTATTGTTCATGCAGTAATCAATGATATAACCCACATTTTTGAGAAATTCATCGCAAAAGTATTATGACCAAGCCACTTAAAGCAAAGCAACAAGTTCAATGGTACTTGATGAACCTCCAAATAGTTGATTGTCGATATACTTATCGACTTCGACTTAGTTGAATTTTATCAACTGACTGACTGACTTTGGTGTCCAGAAATTATACCTAAAACGACTAACTGATCATGGAACGTTTTATTCATTAAACAAATCATGCAGAAACCTTTAGCCTAACTTTAGTTAGAGTTTTCTAACTTTTATATGTCGTGGTTGAGCTGTTGCCTTGGGCTTAGCGTTCGGATCTCACAAAGTCCTGATTGCAAGCTGTTTTTAGTGAATGTTTATTCGGGGACAAGCCCCTTGGACTATTCCATCTTTGTTTCCTGATGAATTCTCAGATATCCTGGACAAAGCCTAGTGTCTATGGGTCGGTAAAACACCTCAAGGTTGTTAAGGTTTATTTCTATCAAATTAGGGGGAACAGTTATAATTTTCATCTTAATCTTAAGGTAATCTTATACACGTTTTCTTCCCCCTATTCTACTAATGTAGTCATAAACTATTAAACTATAACACCCTTCAGGTAGCAAGGGTAGACGGTACTCAAAAGCTGTCGCGGCTGCCCGGTCTACGAAGAAAGCCATTAAAATTTTGTAGTGTAGAAACGTGTAGATACAAACAAAGAGAAGCTTCGAAGCATAAATAAACTGAACAATCAATTCTCAACTTTACTAAAATACAATTTTTTCGCATATTTTTCATTATTTTTTATTTTTGCTGACATATTTCTGATTTGCTTAGGTATATCAGTAATCATATCATTCGAATTAGATTGGAAAACTCGAAAACGTGGTAAAAACCTTCAAATGATAAATGTAAGAGAAAGTCAAATGTTGTATTACTACAAAATGACATCCGGTGGCTGTGTATTTTCAGCAAATCTAAGCACACATTCAATAGTCTATATAGGGTCTATCTAAAGTTCGACAAGGAGGGATGCAAATGGACTAAACACCGACACAATGATTTTTTTTGCGCTGATTGTTTTTCAGGAGAATTCGGCATTCACTGTAGTTCAAGTTAATGTTTAATTGAAACGTACTTGTATTGTCTAGTTTATTTTGCAATAAGAGATCAAGCCTATTGCATATCATATGAAAATAAGTTATCATAAGTTCGAATTCAAACGCTGTTATGAATTATATAACAATACATGGAGATTATGGTTCCAATGTACTTTAATTTAGCCTTATACAGTTTACTGTCCGTATCCAGGCACGTTTCCAGAACCATATCCAGAACCATAGGCAGCATTTTCGCCTAAAACATTCCGAGCCCCGCCTGATGGTATAGCTTTAATATGACAATTAACTGCTGGCATGACTTCAGGCTCTGATCCAACGCCAGGTAAAGCTCTAGCCCTTGTTTCTTTTAAAAGTATAGCTCCAGCCGTAGAGGTAGTAGATAGACTGAAATTGATTTAATGATAGCTTTGAATTGGAGAATTTCTTTATATACTCGTTTTGGTTAGTGTTTTATTTGATCAGCGTTCCAGCTACAGCTCCAACATCGAAAGAAGCTCCAGCGGGAACTCCAGTACCGGCTCTACCGGATGGCGAAACTCCAGCGCCTGTTGTGACTATTGGTATAGTTCTAACAGCAGACCCAACGCCAGGTAAAGTTCCAGCTCTTGTTGCTTCTAAAAGTATAGCTCCAGCTGTAGAGCTAGAAGTAGCTCCAGCAGCACCTGGCACTGCATCAGCTTGCACCTTAACTGCAGGCAAAAGCTCGGCTACGCCTGCTGGTAAAACGCCAGTTCCAACTACAACTCCAACATCAGCAGAAGCTCCAGTGGGAGCTCCAGTTCCATATCCCTGTCCAGTACCATATCCCTGCCCAGTTCCATATATCTGACCAGTTCCGTATATAGGTATATTCGTTGGCACTCCAGCTCCTACACCAGGTCTGTATTGGCTAACAGTCTCACCGCCATCTTGTCCGATTGTGGATTTAAATATGACAATTAACGTGGAAAAGAACATTATGGTTGTTTCATTGAAAATCATTTTGTATTTATTACTAAACTTCTAAGAGAGAATCACTAAAATTTGTAGATAGACTGAAATTGATTTAATGATAGCTTTGAATTGGAGAATTTCTTTATATACTCGTTTTGGTTAGTGTTTTATTTGATCAGCGTATTTCTTTGATTCTGTTTGATCAATTATTATTTAAATAACTTTTTTAACGTTGTAATCAACGTGTATAAATTTTTTGGCAACAGCAGTTTAGCTGCATAAAAATAAATTTTGGTTTTATAATTGATGAGTTGATTAATCGGGTCATGTAACTTTATCTCTATTATCATATTTGTGAATGATAAAAATCAGGCATTATACCACTTTTTTATAGGAAAGCCATTGTTTTTTGAAAAGTATATTGCACTAATACCAGTGCAGCACATTAATACAACAAAACTGGTACAAGTTTGTTAGAAAACTACATTGGAGACATTCATTGATAAGATTCTCGACCCCAAGGGGCCTCGTTTCTTATCCATGAATATCTCCAATGTAGTGATCTAACATACACTAATACCACTATCTATTAATAAAATCATTGCATTTAAGCTGGTTTTTGAGTACCTGAGTACGTCAAAAATATGAAAAAGTGTATTTATATCGCTTAACTCGGCGCTGCCATAAATTTGCTTTTAATAATTATCAATAGTTATGATATGTTATAATGTAGTACAGGTGAGTCAGGCGAAAGTCTAGTCCGTAAAGTCTATTTTCCGAGAAAAGCCACTTACTCTGGTTCAGCTTAGGACTGGTGGCAGCTGCTTTGACTTAACTTATAATTTTAATTTTTAACAATTAACTTGATTCAAAGTCAAATATCATTCAATTTACTTTAAAACAGCAGCCTTCAAGTACCATGGTCAGCAAAATCAAATCAAGCAATTCTGGATATTATGTAAAGCTGAATAAGCCAAAGAGAAGAATTCGTGAATTTTTGATGAAAAATTATCGAAAGAATATCAAGTTGTTCTAGACTCAATCTGATGAAAGGCGCAGACTTAAATCTGTTGTTAGATGGGTGAAAGTAGAGACTTTGTGTTCGAGATGGGTTGAATGTTCTATGTAATGAATAGTATTTACCGATCATGCCTTAATTAATTCATTACGTTCATTAAATTTAATACAGAACAAACCAATTTTTCTGGATTGACTTGATTTTGCTGATTATGGTGCTTGAATGCTATTGTTTTATTGTAAATTGAATGCAATTTGACTTTAAATAAAGTTAATTGTTAAAAATTAAAATAGAAAGTTAAGTTATAGCAGCTGCCACCAGTCCCGAGCTAAACCATGGCCATTTAACATTTCCAGAAAGAATATGCATCAATTGCCAACCCCGTTCCTATGCAAATTAAACAATGAATTATTGGATTGCATCATACTGCAATCAAATGTTTGTTAGCGCAAAAGTCAATCGATAATTCAACGAAAAGAATTTCAGCTATGGTAGTAAGTAAAGTGTTTTTTCACGGTCAAACTTGTTGTATTCTCGGTATTGGCAGGTAATTTTGCTGCTTGTTTTTTTACAACGGTTGCAGTAGTCTGGATTCAGCATGATATTGTTGAAGGATATACAAGTTTTCTACATTGTGTAGTAAAATCAAATATTGTAGAAACACTACCAACCTATAGAACCACGTAAAGTGA